AATGGTCCTTCAAAAGAATAACAAAGACACAAAATGAATGAAGTACTAGAAGTCCTTATTTAATTGCTACATTCGAGTATTCTTAGTGATTTTTCATGGAATTATTTTTAGTGGCTGAACACTAATATACTGTAAATTGTACCTTGCCTACTAAAGTTTCTCCTCTTCCTTTTCTTCGTTGGACCTGAGTTGTGATGTCAGCTTCTTAGTCCAACGAAAGTTCATACCTGGCATCTATGCATTGTGCTTAGCATTTGATGTCCGTGCACTGACTGCAAACTATTATTCTTCTTTACAAGGGTTTGTAGGTCAACAAACTTGTAATTGTTGGGGTAAATACATTGTATTTTCACTTTTCTTTTGTTGGGACTTTCAAGACTGCTTGGAGGAAAGCCGGTGGTCTGAAAATATTTGTAAAATGCTTTGTGATTGTCGATGTCATATAACTGCATTAATCTGGTACTTGAAACTGCTAGATTCTCTTTGATCCCAGTTGATAAACCGATAGAGCGAACAGATTAATTTGCTAATTTGTATCCTTTCATCAAATTACGTGATGCAGGTATGAACATTTGGCACGAAGTGCACCAGCGATCTTAGATGATTCTCTTTCAGCTGATTCCTATCTCAATGTCTTGTACATGCCATCAACATTTCCACGTTCAGAGAGATCTAGGCGATCACAAGAAGCTGCAAATGATAGTTCAACAAACAACTTGGACCTTGAAGATGGGCCTCGTAGTAATCTTGACAGTATTAGATACCTTGAATGTGTTAACTACTTGCAGGAAGTAAGCATTGATTTACCATCAGCTTGATTTGATTTAAACTGGCCAATTGTTTCTGAACTGCACCTCTCACACCCCCTCCCCGGGGCCCCAAACACTAATAAAAAGAAAAGAAAAAGAAAACTAAATGCATCATTTTCTTGATTTGGATTTTTTTCATCCAAAAAACCGTTTTTCCATAGTTTGAAGTTATTGTTGCTGGCTTAAGTTGAATATTGGTTTTCTCCCGCAAAAATTTAGTCCATGCACTTACAGTTTGAGGATTCTTTCCAATCTCCAGTTACACTTTTATCTTGATTTATAGTAAATATTGACCTTCAGAGCAATTTCCTTTTGGTTGGTATTTTCAATGTATTAGATGGTTGGGCAAATGCACCAAACATATGGCATACATGAATTTAATCCTAGGTTTAATAGCACAACTGAAGGAGGATATAGAAAACTTCAAAGGACCACAATATGTTGGTACTTTGATGTATATTAGAGACTTTTTCATGCTTATGGTTAATAAAGTTACTCGTGGTGATCTTTCTCACACTTTGTACTCTTATATTGTAATGGCCCCTAATCTTTGGATTTTTGAAATGCAGTATGGCCACCAACATTTGCTTGGTTTCATGTTTAAGCATGGCCATTACAAGGATGCTTGCTGCTTGTTTTTCCCTTTGAATTCTGTTCCTTCACCACCACAGCCATCCTCACTTGGAATTGTTACATCTTCTTCTTCCCCTCAAAGACCAGATGTTTTGGCCACTGATTATGGGACCCTTGATGATTTATGTGGTTTTTGCATTGGATTTAATGCCATGCCTGTTTTGGAGGAAATAATATCGACGAGAGTTTCTACTGCTGCATCACAAGATGACTCAGTGAAACAGCACACTGCTGCAGCACTTGCCCGTATTTGTCTTTACTGTGAAACTCATAAACATTTTAATTATCTTTACAAGTTTCAGGTGATCAAGAAGGATCATGTGGCTGCTGGTCTTTGTTGTATTCAGTTGTTTATGAACTCCTCCTCACAAGAGGAAGCTATAAAGCACTTGGAACATGCCAAGATGCACTTTGATGAAGGGTTATCAGCTAGATACAAATCAGTTGATTCTACTAAAGTTGTTACCAAGGGGATTCGAGGCAAAAGTGCTTCTGAGAAGCTCTCTGAAGAGGGGCTTGTCAAGTTTTCTGCTCGGGTTGCAATTCAGGTCGATGTAGTCAGATGCTTCAATGCAGAGGGACCGCAATGGAAGTACTCTCTTTTCGGGAATCCAAATGATACCGAAACTTTTAGGAGAAGGTCTGAAATTGCAGAGTCTCTGGCTGAGAAGAATTTTGACTTGGCTTTTCAGGTGATTTATGAGGTTAATCTTCCAGCTGTGGACATATACGCTGCCGTTGCTGCTTCACTTGCAGAGAGGAAGAAGGGAGGTCAATTAACGGAATTCTTCAGAAACATTAAAGGTACAATAGATGATGACGATTGGGATCAAGTGTTAGGGGCTGCAATAAATGTGTACGCTAACAGACACAAAGAGCGTCCTGATCGACTCATTGACATGTTGACTAGCAGCCACAGAAAGGTGCTAGCGTGCGTGGTTTGTGGTAGGCTTAAAAGTGCCTTCCAGATTGCCTCTAAGAGCGGGAGTGTAGCAGATGTTCAATATGTAGCACATCAGGCATTACATGCAAATGCACTTCCTGTGCTTGATATGTGCAAGCAATGGTTGGCTCGGTACATGTGATTGAATACTTTTCATGGTAAAAAGTTACAGGGGTAAAGTGCCATCTGGTATGCCACTCAGCAGGGTAGAGATTGAGTTCAATGATATTAAATATTCATCGTAAAAATGCAGAGATGGATAATTGGGCATTTGGTGTCATTGTTTATTTGGTAAATTGCCTCTCACGCTACATTCAGTACCCTAGGAGGACTCAAATTTTTTTGTCAAAGCAAAGATTTGAACAGGGCTGATCCATGGAGTTTCTCAAATGAGATTTGATGCAAATCAGTACAGGGATCAGTTTGTTTCTCCAGGGATACGTGTCCCATTTTTTGTTATGTTGTACAGTAGGAAGAGCAATGCATATGAGCTGTGCGCATAAAGATAGTAGTAGCATTCAGGAACGGGGTTCCTTTTTTTACCTCTCCCCTCATTTTGTCAGGAGTTGATTTCATTTTTTGACTGAAAAATAGTTTTGTTCACAGAGATAACATCGCATGTTCGTTCGTTGTAGTTTTCTAGCAGGTGATCAATTTGGTGATTTAGATACGACTTTTTTAGCAGGTGAAAACTCTAAGCCTTCCCATCCTCTCTCTTATTCTGACAGATTGCACACAGAGTTGAGAGGTTAGGAACTGCTGGTTTATAATGATGCCCTCAGTGTTGGTTTATATTTCTTCCCAATAAACTGCTGCTTCAGAGGAGATATATATGCTATCAACAACAGTTCTGGAATCAAAGTTTTGGATCTACACGCTGGGAGGTCAACACACCAAAGTCATCAGAGGAGATCTGTTCTGTGCGCTAATGATAAAGAACTGACCATAAAACTCAAAAAGCATTAGAAAAAAATGAGTTGGGAGTCCCAAGATTTTTTGCAATGGGTTTTGAAATTCTTGAAAAATTCATCCTTCAACGCTCCTGCCCCCTAACGTTTGAATCAGGTTGAGGCTGACAAAGGCGTGAAATATGACGCGCTTGGACGTTGGAACTATGGATAAGGATTTGGCGACTCTGTTACTATATGCAAGTTGAGTTTTAAAATTGCTTGGGGAGTAGAAGTTCTTCGAATTCAAACAGTTGAATTCAGTAAAGAGAGCATACCCAAAAAAAAAAAAAATAAACTTTTTTGAGTTCATAGATATTTGAACCTTAATAAGCATAAAGTTAGCGGCAAAAGTTAATTTGAGCAGCATTTTTTCTATTTTTTTTTTTTTTTGCCTTTGAATAATTAAAATCTAAATACAAAAGTAAATGAGAACATAAAGAATATATTTAATTTTCAAAACCAGATGAAATTGTGATCAAATGATAACACCCCATTAAAAGCCATGAAAAACAAATAACCAGGGGGAAGTATTCCAAATATCCATGCTCAAAAGCTTAAACTTAGTGGAAGTTGGAAACCTAAAGGCTCAAAGTCAGAGAGGCTTTTAGTAGCTTTTGGTACCACAATTAGGTGGCATGCAATTTGGAAAGCTACAGGGCAATGGATCACTAAAAAAAATTTTCCAAGTTGTGACGTCCAATTGATAATGGACCACCCTAGCTATCTATTTTATTACTATGTCCAAAACATTTCTGACCTTTGAGAACATTCAGTAACTGAAGACTTGTGATCCCGACAATTTGATGAATAAATAAAAGCATAGGCCTCTTTTATGTGTGAATAGTCAAACCCTATATAAAACTTCATTATCTTTAGCTACTCTAGAAAGCAAAAGGTCTGATGAAGTCCTCCATTGGGATAGAATTTTAGATTTGAAAATTTGTAGTCAATAATTGAACTATTTTTTGACAAGCAAGGTGAGTTTGGTTTTGTGTGTATCTATGTATCTATTTCTATTTCTTGCATCATCCCTAAAGTATTGCTCATGTTAACTGAAAAAATGTGTCACCTCAACTTAGGAACTTACAAATTTCTAATATTAAGGAAAAAAAATAAGTTCCTAAATATTTCCACCATGAAATAATTTCTTTGTGGGAATATTTTTTTTCAAAAAAAAAAATCCACTTCTAAGAGGTTATCTTCTAAGGCACTTTTTGGGTTACATGCATGAAGTACTATTCTCAAGTTTGTGTGTGCTAAAAATTCTTTTTCACAAAGTGAGTTAAAAAAAAAAAAAAAAAAGAACTTCATTTTGGTGAAGAGTTCAACATACATATATAAGAAGTAAGAATAAAAATAAAAATAAAAAGTCTATACTTCTTAACCATATTTTCAGGATACTCTAACCATAAAATTGCATAAATACAAATTTAGACAACAAAGGATACTTCAAAAGTCAAATAAATTAAGTAACAAGGCAACTATATTTGTCACTCTATATGTTACCATGCATTAATGTCGATTCACATACATATTTGTCAACTATATATGTTTCTTGATTATTTTGACAAGGCAAATTGCAATATTTTATTACACTAAACCATTCATATGTATTGACATCTTAACTTCTATATAAGATAGCAATGGTGAAGCAATTATGCATAGAAACAACGAAGTTGTGTTCTCCTCCTCCTCCGCCCTTCCACCATCTTCTTCTCTCTCCCTCTGAGGGTCAGAGCAATAAAGAAAGATGTCGACGACCACAACAACGTTACAATCTGCGAAGTCACCGGTGCCGTTGTTGTACCGGCGACATTCAAGCGGTCAAATAAGGAACTTAGCCTCAGTGTCAAGTAGTCTGCTGCCGGCTTTTGGAACTGTCGTTGGTGAAGGATCTTTGCAGCTCAATAAATTCGTTATTGCCCCATATGACCGTAGATACCGGTGAGCTCTTTCTTTTTCCATTTTTTTCTCTTTTCCTTCAAACTAGTCTTCAATGTCAAAAGCAGAAGAGTTAGAGCCGGTTTGAATTGTTATTTTTTGGAGTTTTTATTGAAAAATATACCGCAGCGATTTAATATATGTGACCTAAAAAAATGATTGAGAAATGTATAATGGAAAACTTAAAAATATTTTGGAGAAAAATTGCAATCCAATAGTTTCTTGGCATGGGGATCGAATTCCTTTGAACTCAAGTGTTGTTTCTTGCTAATTATTGCACAAATAAAACTATGAGCTTAATTTGTCCTATTCAAACATATTAGACATACTTAAGGACCATATAGAAAAGAAAATTACTAATTGGCATATCATGTTTACACTACCTCGATATTTTCACTTCATACAAAAAATATATAATGAGAGCGGGTTCTGTTTGATAAAACTGAATCTGAATTCTGAATCTGAATACTGAAACAATTAATTTGGTGAATTTTAAGCACTGAAAAGAAATCAAGTGACTAAATGTAAATGAATGATTAAGAACACCTTTTTGTTGTGTGAGAATGATTAAGAACACTAAAATCGAGTGGCAAAGGTTAAAACCATAATTTGCTAAATCTTGGATCAATTGTATATAGGTGGTGGCAAGCATTTCTTGTAGTTTTGGTGGTTTACTCAGCCTGGTCATCTCCATTCGAGCTAGCGTTCAAGAAGGTGGCCACCGACTCACTGTTGCCAGTTGACTTAGTCGTTGATGCATTCTTTGGTATTGATATCGTTCTTACTTTCTTCGTGGCTTACTTGGACAAATCCACCTACTTGCTCGTTGATGATCACAAGAAAATAGCCATGAGGTACGTGTATAATATTACTGAATTTCCCTGTTTATTTTTTTTTAGAAGAATAAAAAGAAAAAAAAAACTAATGATTCAGATAAAGGCGCAGTAACTAAAAATATCAAAACTGATATCTTACTTCAGTTGGACGTTTGGGCTTTAGGGGACAACTAGGACGGTTGATAGTTAAAATTTCGAAAAAAATTGCACCTTTGATACAACAAATTGTGTATTTACCTCTAGGCATATACATGCATGTCTCATGTAATGAAGTCAAGTTATAGGTAATGCCAAGTGTTTGTAGCATAGGATAGCTCGTACTTGTGTATATGAATTTCTATATTCTCAATTATAAGTCATATATGTATACATATATATATATATTATAAAATCTGGGTTTGAAGGGAAAAAAACATATACTACTAGAGTTGTTACTCATTGGAACAAGAAAAAGGACATTGATACTAGTCTTGGAAATTTCAAGTTTGAAGATTTTCGCTTATATGATAAGGGAAGTTTTGATTTTGTATTTGTTGTTAATGATTGAAAACTTAAAAAAATTTTGGCTAAGCGAATATGGCGTTTTGCTGCTTCCGCAATTTATAGTTTCTTTAAGACAAATGATAGTAGCAGTCCAAAAAAAAGTTCCACAAATTCCACATGCATTTATTCACAATGGTTGAAAATGACATATATATATATATATATATCCATAATCTAGATTGTCTAACAATTTTTAAATACCAAAATTACTCTCAAGGTATAGTGTAGTGATTATTTTACATTATTTTTATGAAGGCCTCTACACTACTGACAACAAAATTTTAAATTTATAAGAAAAAAGAAACTCTAATGTTGTTTCAAGTCGTAAAAACATAATAACAAAGAACTAAGCCAAAAATAATAGACAATTCCAACCATAAAATCTAATGCTTTACTCAGTCACTACCAAATAATTCATACTCACACGGCATTCTACAAAATCATTGCTATTAAGAATTTTCTCCGTTATTAGTTGTATAATAAATTAACACTAACTTAAGAGTAGAGAAAACTAATTGAATTGAAGAGACAAATTAGAGAAAGCTATAATACATAGAGGGAGAATTTCGTCTTCTAGAATATTTTATAAGTTTTTATGTCATTTTATTTTGTTTGGCTCCGTTTGGATTCCTCATTTTTTGAAAAACAAGTTTTTCATATACAATATTACAGTAATATATAAACAAAAATAACTTCAAAAAAACCACATTCATACAATCCGGCTCCATTTGAATTAGTTATTTTTTAGGGTGTTTTTGAAATATTTTACTGTAACGGTATATATGAAAAACTTTTTATTGTAAATTTTTTTCGTGATATTTTTAGAGGTGTTTTTGGAATATATTTTGGAATAATTTTAAAGTTTAAAAATTTTTGTGATGTTTTTTAAAAATTTACCACCATCACCCACCACTGCTACCACCTCCTCCCTTCTCCTCCCTCTCTTTCGTCCTTCTCCTCTTCCCTCTGCCCCATCCCTCTCTTTCTTTCCTCCCCTCCTCCTTTTCCCACCACGCCTCACTCCTCTCCTTCCCCTCCCCCCCCCCCGGGCGATCTTCCTCAAGGCCTCTGATCATGACATCGTGATAGATTTGAGAGGGATGGAGTGTAGCAGGAAAGAGAAGGAGAAGGGGAAGGGGAAGGGAGAAGGAGAGGAGGAAGAGGGAGGAAGAGGAAAGAAGAGAAAGAGGGAGATGGTGACGGTGACGGTGGTGGGTAGGGATGGTGGTAATAGATGGAAGAAGAAAGTTGTGTAGATTTTATTTTTTATTCTTTGTTTGTTTGTAGTTGTTTTTTATATGTACCTCGAGTCTTTCTTGGAGTGTCAATATCATTTGCCTTTCTTTAAAGGGAAAATGATCGGTTTCATCCTTCACATTACACAAAAATATTCTTTTCGTCCCTCATTTTTAAAATGAAGCAATTTCGTTCTTGACATTTAAAAATTGAAATTATTACATCCCTGAACCCAAATTTCAATTTGCATCAAATCACCAATCAACCTGATTACAAATTTTGGGGTGTAATTGATAGATCATTTGGTTAACTCAACTTGATATTCATGTGAAATTTAATGAAACGAAAAATTATAATTAAAAAATTATAACATAAAAAAGAAAGATTAATCTTTCCTACATTAATATTGTATACATTGACGGTTTTATGTACCGCCATATCATTTTAATTAATTTAAACAAAAAATTTTATATTTATGATACACATCTAGATTCACAAGCGGATATACTAACGGTGCATGAAAAGATTTACCAAAAAAAAAAAACTCTACTATTCCAAGACAAAGAATGGCCTTTTATTTTATAATTTTTATTTTTTTGGTTTAATAAATGTCATGTGAATATGATGAAATTGACCGAATGATCTATCAATTCTATTTCCGAAATTTATTACTGGGTTATTGGATGGTTTGATTCAGATTGAAAATTAAGTTCAGGAATGTAATAACTTTAATTTTTAAATATCAGGGACAAATTTGCTTCATTTTAAAAGTGAGGGACGAAAAGAATATTTTTGCAAAATGTGAGGAATGAAACAGGTCATTTTCCTTCTTTAAATATCTAAAATATGTAAATGCATTAATAGAATTCATAATTTTTTGTTCTCACATATAAGCAATAGCTTGTATTCTTTTGGTTTTTGACTCCTCTGGATTTATTTATTAGGTATGTCAAACATTTATGGTTTCCCATGGACGTAGCTTCTACGCTGCCATTTCAGGTTATCTACCAAATCTTCACTGGAAAAAGGCATTACGGACAAGTCTTTGGGTTCCTCAACTTGCTCAGGCTATGGCGACTTAGACGTGTTAGCGAACTTTTCTCCAGGTACCATTAATATAAGCTAACAGAAGCAAAGAGTTAAAAGAAAGTAGCATCAAATCAATACCAAGGAAAGTGTTCGATCCAGGGGTCAATCAATTTTCGTCAACTCTATGCTTAGCCAGCCATTGGCGAAGTTTTTCATGGTATAGCCTAAAAAATTTGAAGAAGTACTCGCTCCATCCCACTCACTTTAATATGCTTGATTTTTTTACACAACTTAAGAAAAGTTAGTTAATTTTATTGGAAGAATAAGTCTAGCTTACTATTTTACTAAAATACCCCTATATTAAATAGAGTATGACTAATTAGCTTTTCATTAAATAAGTTAGGTTATATTCAATAACAACCTATATTAAATAGGAGCATTTTAGAGAAATTATAAATTAACTATATTTTTCAATTGAAAAGTGGGTTATAATTTGGAACAGATGAAAAATAAAAGTCTGTTACAGTGAGACGGAGGGAGTAAAATTTTATCCTTAAAATCTATAGACATTAGTCCTACATCAGGACAAAAAGTTTAACACAACATAAATTGAAAAATGTGGGCATCTAGATCTTGAAAAACATCAATAAGCATAGCAATTACACATAGAACACACTTCCATGATTAGCTATCCAATTTTAACAATTTGTGAGTTATCTTTGGTTCCAGGCTAGAGAAGGACACTCGCTTCAGCTACTTCTGGACAAGATACGCGAAACTAATATGTGTAAGCTTGTGCAACTTTTTCCAAAGATTAGCTGTCATGTAATTAGCATTAATCCAGGCTTAAGTTCAAGCTTATGCGACAAATAAAAGCACAAGTTAAACCTTTATGGAATAAGAAACTTGCTAATTACCCTCTATCTCGTTACAAACATACCTACATTTTGTTTTTACCCATCCAAAACTATTTTGTGAGTTTAAATTGATCTAAATCACGAGCGGGTGAAATTCAAATGCATATATATATACACACACTACTTTAAGCAATCAAAGGCTTGGTCTTACTCTTATGTGAATTCTCTTACTCTTGATCACAGGTGACCTTATTTGCGGTGCACTCAGCTGGTTGCTTCTACTACTGGCTGGCAACACATCATCATGTGGCAGATGATACATGGATTGGTTCTTTGATTCCTAATTTTCAAGACAGGAGTGTGTGGCTGGGATACACTTATTCCATGTATTGGTCCATCGTCACTCTCACAACTGTTGGCTATGGAGATTTGCACGCAGTGAATACAGGAGAGAAGATTTTCAACATGTTGTACATGCTTTTTAACATTGGCCTCACAGCATACCTAATTGGCAACATGACAAATCTTATTGTCCACAGTGCTGTCCGAACCTTTGCCATGGTAACAACAACTGCCTATCCCTAACCATCCATTATGATTTCACTAAGAGCATATGACCTAATAAACCCCCCAGCCAAAAACCTGCATTATGTTTCCGAATTGCAGAGGGATGCTATCAATGAGATCCTGCGATATGCAAGCAAGAATCGACTTCCAGAAAGCTTGAAAGATCAAATGCTGGCACATGTTACGCTGAAATTCAAGACCGCGGAATTACAGCAAGAAGAAGTACTAGAAGATCTGCCCAAGGCAATAAGATCTAGCATCGCCCAGCATCTTTTCCGAAAAACTGTGGAAAGTACTTACCTTTTCAAAGGAGTCTCTGAAGACTTTATTGTTCAGCTGGTAACAACAACTCCACTTGTCCCAACTACTAAAATCCTCTATTTCCAACTCATAATGTATTGATTTCTTAGTGCAATGTATGGATTAATAAAGTTTTCATGCAAATAATAACCTACCTGCTATGTTTGGTGTGTAGATGTCCCTTGGGGGCATTACTAAGGGAAGTTCTGATATCTTAGCCTAAACATAAATTCAAACGAAGACACTAAGGAGTACTTTACTCAAGTATGACCTATGGTTTTCTCGTCACAGGTCCCAGAGATGAAAGCAGAGTATTTTCCACCAAAAGTTGATATTATTATACAAAATGAAATATCAACAGATTTCTACATTATTGTATCCGGAGCTGTGGTATATTATCTCTTTAATGATGCTATTCATGATCTGACTTGTTTGACATGCACATTCTAACTGCTGCAAGTTGCAGGACGTGATAACATACAAAAATGGCACGGAGCAGGTACTTTTCGTTTTTTGAAGTTCCCAAAATCTTATCCTTTATGCCGATGAATTATAAATGATAATTGAATCACTAAGAGTGGATAATAAACTTTAAAACAGCATAAGAGTTGTATTATATCAAGGATAGAGAATAAGGAACACTATATTGAAATTGAAGAGAATGTAATAAATTGTGTTTCCTTCAGTGGATTGTGATGGCAAACCTAATGCTGAGAAAACTTCAGACTATTACTGGGATTGAAATATGAAGGCATGCAGATTGTGGAGAATGCCTTTTGGGAACTATGATATTCAATCATTTAATGTAGATTAAGCATAAGGTCAATTTCAACACAGAATAACGATAGATAAGAATATACAATTTTCTGTTGTCAATTAAACGCTATACTGATACTGTAAGTTAACTAAATTGTGAAGCACTTTACCTTGAGTTTTAAATTTATTATCAGTCCTAAAGATACTTGAGAGATATCTGATCTTAAGCAACGCTTTACAAGTGTTTAACCCTAAAGTCAGGGACGTCGTGGATAACTAGTGTGTTTCGTGTATGATTATAATAGCAGCAGACAGATAGACAATGTAAAGAATGCCTGTTACTTCATTCCAGATTTCTCAGAAAGCTCTCAATTATATGAATCTCATGGGCGGAATCATGAAAATAGATGCATAGCTAAACCAACATATAAAGGCTACAGCACAAAGAAATGAGAGAGTAAAACTTGAAACATTTGGCAGCTTATGGGGATCAGAACATTTCATCACCCAAGCACTCTTCACTTAAGAGAATTATCTTCACTCAGCATCAGTACAAATTAAACATGTATACTGAACAGAAAAAAATAATAGCAGATCTGTGCCTTTTCTTGACAAATGAAAGAAGTTCAAATAAACTCTACATACCATGAATCTAGAATACCAATACTAAGAAGACTGCCAGAGTTTGTAACCAGTGGGAGTCTCATTCCAGGATAGGCATTCAGTATCATTTAGGATAATTCCTCCATGAACTGGTGTTTCTTCATCCTAGCCTTCAGCAAACTGTCCACAAAAATTGTGCATTGAAACAAAAATCAGAATTAAGAGGCTGTTCTTGAAAGTTCATCAAAAGGATATAGCAATTACTGGAAAGTAGAAAGCACCCCAGGTCTAAGTACATATCAGTGTGCTAAATATGCATTGGATAGTACCTTTAGAAACATCAGGTACATGACATCTAATTACAAGAAATTGGTCAGGGAAATCACAGTATATGTGGGCAGACTTTCTAGGAATAAGCATCAGACTTTTGACATCAAAATGCAGCAAACCTAAAATAGGGAAGGCTAAAACAACCACCTAATATGTTTTTATTACTTTCCCTAGTCAACTAAGCTTTGTGAATTCGGATAATTATCTTTTACCTTTGACACATTTAAACTTTGAATTGTTTCAGTTCCTGTCGAAGACGGGGCCTCCTGATATGTTTGGGGAAATAGGGGTAATTTTTAATGTCCCTCAACCTTTCACAGTCAGAACTAGGAGGCTGTCTCAGGTTATACGGATCAGCCATCATAACTTCAAGCAATTGCTGCAGCCGTTTACTGAAGATGGAAAAATAATGCTCTCCAACTTCCTTCAGGTTAATTCTCCACAAGTTTTCCATCCTTTCTAATTTTTAGTGTCCTCAGACTCTCAAGTAGTCCATTGCTTTAATAAAATTCAATGCACTAGTACTTCAGCCAATTTTCTTTTGCGATAAAACTGCAGAAAATTTTCTTTATATCATTGCTTTTGACGAAGTTCATTGACTGCTTTCTAGGTTTTCATTTTTCAAAAAACATTAGTACATGTCATAAATGGCATTATCAATTTCAGCATTTGAAAGGGTTAAAAAAGGAGGAGCTGGAAGAGATACCACTGGTAACAGAATTCCTTGGAGACTTAAGAACAGAGGTATTTCTTCTTTTTGATAATGAAATCCAATGCATGTCCTGTATGTCTGTCAGGACATCTTTCTACTGTTGTTAAAATGACTTAATTCAACCATTGTGGACATTTAATCCATTGATGCTCTTGCACCGTGAAAGAAATCCCTTATTCTCAACAAAGTTCAATTTCATGAGTCAAAATTGGTTGTACATCTCATTGCATATGCATGCAACAAAACCAGGACTTACAATACAAGTGGACTTATGTTAAAGTTGATTTGCACAATGACCATTATTATTTGGGTATTAAATTTCAGAAATTAACTGATATAGAACCTGAGGTTAGACTGACATAACACCGGAGTTTTTATGCCCTGGATCAATAAAAAACCTTTAATTGATCCTATATGGGCTTTGCTCTGGTAAATGAAAAAGCTATGAGGTCAGGCTCACCCCAATAAGGAGAAATTACATGCAAGCTTTCTGCCTTCTCTACCGTTGTTTCCCCAACAAGTCAGTATAAAATGAAAAAATACCCATTTTACATGAAAATGCTACACTCCCCAATATTTTAATTGAGAAAATGAAATTCATTTCAGCACTTCAACATGCTCATCTTAAAAGTTTTGCTTGCATAAACATAAGGAATAAATGAACTTGGCAAAAGGTTTGAGCAATGAACTCACTGCATAAAACCACAAAGCAAACATGCAAACATATTTCCTTCAAACAGTAAATAAAACAAGTTTTGTAAGACATCATTCTTCCACAGTCAGTTGACTTTCGAAGAAAAGGAATCAAAGCCATATACTATAACATTTTCCTCTTGCAGGATACAGCAGCAGTGGAGGAATTAGAGCACCATGCAGCTGATGAAGAAGCAAGAAGTAATTTTGCACCTTCCTTAAGAATTACAAGAACAAAGCAAATGCACAGCACATACTTAAATGACAACTGGATGTAGATTACACTAAATAAGCACTCCTTCAGAATTTGCAGAGAAATAGTTCTCAAAATAGAAGTTTTGATAACCATCAGTCAATTCCAGACCTCCATTGGATAAATCAGCTTACAGAATTTTTGTTATTGGCCAATACAATTACTTAACACACTCTTTCCCTTTTCTTTTCTTATGTTTGATTTGGATGTTAGTGGTAACTATCTTGCTGGTGTTTTTGTCAACTTTGAGTTCATCTGATGGTCTAAATGGAATGTTACTCTTAAGACTAGTAATCTCACTCTAGATCCTTAGTCATTGTCACTTGAAACTTAAAAAAACTTAATATCCTTGATAACACCAAAAAGGTAAATTCTAGATCTTCTATTTTATCATGTTCAACCTCTCATGATAAATTTTTTTAATCTTCTTGCAGGAACCTCGACAGCATATGCATTTTCCGAGGTGTTGCCTACAAGAATAATAATCCATGGACATCACCCTAATGAAAAACTAACTGAAGGAGAAAGTCCTGGAAAACTGATCCATCTTCCTGATACAATAGAAGATCTTCTAAGATTAGCAGGTGAGCACTCCTCCAAGAAAATATTAATACAACATGCAGAGGGACACAGATTTTTTTGGAGATAAAATTCTTGAGATTCAGCATTACGTGCAAAAATCCTCCACATTCTTGCTGCAACTAAGAAAGGTTTAAACCATTTAACCAAAAGTTCAAAGGGAGATTTCTTATTGTTGGAACAAGACAGTCCTCAACATTCTTTAAAAATTTTCTAAAATGGGGCTATAAATCCACTTCTCTTTTGTTACTATGAATACGTGTAAATATGATTTTACCTGATTAATGGTTCAAGGTCAAATTGGATAGATTAGACTCGTAAACAGAATTTTTGTGTGTCTTATGTAACTCTAATTCATAAGTACAGAAAAATGGTTGAGGAAACGAGGAACTGCAATTCTCATGGCAGATGGTTCTCAAGTGGAAGATTTGAACGCTTTAAGAGAAAATGACCACTTGTACATTTTATAGAGCAGCCTTGTTGAGCAGATACGACCATGCAGACCATGCAAAATCATATTTTGTTGACAAAGTTTTATTACATATCTTTAAAAAATTATTCAAGTACAAGTACTGAGAATTATTTTTAACATTGTATATCCCTACCTTCCCATATGCAGTTGTATTAGTAAGAACTTAAACCTAAGTATTTGAATAGTGCGGTCAAAATGAAACCTTAAACCCTTAGCTGATCACCTGGTTATTCAGCATGCTTATAACAGCATAGGCAGCTTTCTGATAATGCTCTTTCTCTTCATCTAAGGTTCTTTTCCTCTCAAGAGCAAAGTCCTTCAAGTTCTTTATGTCATCCATTACATCAGAAGAATTCTGATCTATTTCACTGTAGGAATTCATGTTCACAAGTTAAGCTGAAGAAAATGACGAGAACATAACAAAAAGGTACTTTGAATTGACAAACACAAAAAGCTTTTTAACTGTTTACCAATCTCACCAGTAACAAAGAAAACTAAGAAAATAAGAGTAGCACAGGAAAAAGCAAACAGGGGAGTATTATCGAAGGGTTGATTAAAAAAAGATGTAACTTACAGAAATAGCACTCATTTACTCAGTTTAAGAGAATCACCAAAGCTAAATCAAATCAACATTTGAAAAAATTACATCATTCATGTGAACCAAAGGCTTTTTAACTAGGAGTACAGTCAGCTCACTTTATCATCTTAAGCATATCCTCCATAGCAGCTTGTACCCGGTGGGAAAGATCTGCATTTTGTGTCGAATACAATCTCAGCGTTGCAGTCAGCAGAAACAGATGAACAATTTTTTTTCTTCGAAAGGATTATGTCATAAACTTCTGTCAAAAATGTAAGTGAACATAGAGCACTATTGAACAATCAATGCTCATTTTCTCCTAAATTGGACCAAGAATAATACGATTCTGTTGTAAATCTTTTACACCTTCCCAATTAAATTCTAGATACCAAAAATTAAGTACTCAGGGTACAATACTACTAGCATTTGTTAAAATGTGCTTAAAGATTGTAATAAACTGACTAAACAGATGAATGCTTTGTGAATACTAGACGTAATTGAGATTGAATACAACGTAAGAACCGTTCCAGCATCCTTAGTGACAAAAAGTCATGAATAATCCTAGATAATAATTGTTACTATATTACTTTAAAAACGCATAACGAAATTCGAAAGTTAAATTTTTGTAATTAATTTTCTCGCAGTAATGTCTGAGATTTAGCTAAATAGGCTTGTTCAAATTCCGTAGTTATAAAATTTGAATCGAGATAATGCGGATAAATTCTTCTGTCGCCTTATGATAAAAAACTAGCTGAAAAACGTAGCCGATAAAAGCACAAAACTGCAAATAATTGTGGATAATTCGAGGGAAAAAATGAGAATATTCGCTGGCATTTCCTACTTGAATTTGTGAAATTAAAGTTCGAGAATATTGTACAACACGAACCGTAAAGGAAAGAGGAGAGCTGAGATTCAACGTCGGAACGTGGAAGAGCCAGCTCAGCATTCGCCGGAGATCGTGATGGTGAAGACGACGTCGCATCCGCCATTGCAGATGGGAAAACACACACACGCACAGAGCCGAGAGAGAGAGAGCTAGTAGAGGAGAAATTGCGAGAACGAATAACTAACCGCGCGCAGTTTGAATTTTCGATTTCTGTATTTATAGGCTTTCGGTATCTGGAGAGTTGATGACGTGTAAATTCTTAGTTTCTTTCAAATTTTTATGCTAGTTGAATTGGGCCGGGGGTTTCTATCGGGTTTGGTCCATTGGACTGGCCTACGAAAAGTTAATAAGGTACGAAATGGGAAAACTAATATGTAGCGCAAAACGAACTGGAGACGAAATTTTTTGAATGACTTATCTATCATGATAAGAAAATGTGGATGTCATTTGGGAATTTAATAACATAAAGATAGTAAACTGGCAGGTTTCCATTCATGATTTTGCAATTACACTAAGGGTTAATTTTCTATACACTGACAGTGTAATGTATATGTTGCCAGTTTTGAATGAATAACAATTATACAAAAGTTGAATTTAAAATTCAACTTTTACACGTGTCATAGATTAAACAGTGATATTATGTACACTGTCAGTATATAAAAAATTTATTCTTCTTTTTTTTTTTGTGTATATGAAGGGTTAGGAGATCTCAATCACCATCATGGAAAGTTTTGAGTTGCAAGCTGCAGTTTGACCATCCCAAATTCCTTCTATCGCTGTGTCAATTTAGATTGAACCAGTTTAGATGAAAACCAATTTTGGTGAGTAGAAATGTTTATCATTGTGTAAAACTTTAGTTTAATGGAAGCATATTTCTCAACCTTAACCAGAGTAAGAAATGGAAAAAGCATAGCTAAAACAAAATTAAAGTTGTTGAACAAGCTGTCGTATTGAAGCTAGTCTGAAGCTGAAATCAGTCTTGAGTTTGTATGAACAAGATGGTCACAGTAGAATCAACTAGCAAGACACAATATGTGGCAAGCCACTTCGAGTGTCTTCCAGACGAGTGCCGGTAGGTGGTTCAGTCCCCTCCGATTTCTCCCGACTTATTCAGGTCCTTCCCTCCCCGTAGCATAAAAAATACAAAAAATTGTAAGTCTATCGTATCGACAAAAAAAAAAAACAAGACATAATAATAGTATTGCCAAAGCTCAAAATTTTAATATCCCATTTTTTGACAATATATCAGTCTTACCCTACTCATGTCAAATTAAACATCATCTTAAATTTGACTTGGGATGAGTAATATGATTTTTGTAAAGATTTATTGTGGCATAAAATTTGGTATTGATTAGATACTATGTGCACCACGTGACATGTCATTCTTTTGTCTAGTGAATATCAGACAAAAAATAGTTCACTACTGTACTTGATGAATTCTTTTTTTTTTTTGGTCAATTAGAGGCAGAATTTAAATTTACAATGTTCTATTGACTATGCATACATTAGAGCTTTAACTAAACATAATTTAACCATGTTTGGTGAGTTTGGAAACAATGCATTCCTATTTGCAAATTGAGAGTATTTGCATTCCTACTTGGTGGATTTGGATTGATGCTAAATCACTAGCACTTGTTTGATAACCTAATTCAACATTTAAACTTAATGGATTCAAATCTTAACATGTTCAGACACATTTGATAATCAAAAATTGAAAATCTGAATTGATTAAGTAGCACTGAATTTCTTAAGCAAAACTTGCTCCTAAAATTAAGTGATAAGCTATTTACTTATTACTGAATGTGATATATACTCTAATTTATTAGATTTAGTACTTAACAATTCAATATGTTAATGGATTCAAACTTCAGATTTCAATTTTCAAATTTCAAATTTATCAAACACACCGTAATTCACCAAATAGTGCATGTGGTGTACCTTCTGCCTAATATTTATATAGATGTTCTAATTGAGATCTTAAGGCTTAATGGACCGGGCTCAAGTAGGCCTAAATGAGATATCCAACTATTGAACTCCAATTACAACGTAGACAGAGGACCTAACTAGCAGGATTAATACCAAAGAATCCAACCGATGGGGGGATAAATAACTTTGAAAACTGCAAAAATTAGAACAAGAATAATTAAGGAGGCAATAATGGATTCTGCGTTCTAATCCTCTAGCCCCTCCTCACTTTTTAAATTCCATCATTTTCCTATTAAAAATAATAATAAGAAATATCAGGCAGTGATAACATGTTTGGAGTCCTCAAATTGTGATGGAAATTGCAAAAAAAAAATTATTAAGGAAATAAGTATAAAGTTATCAAGCTGTGTAGATGTGTGGAGTCCTCAAATTGTGATGGAAATTGTTAAAAAAAATAATTACTAAGAAGATGAATATACAGTTATCAAGCTGTGTAGACAGTAAGATGCACGCGTGTATAAGTCAGTCATCCCTATCACTCTGTGGACTGTGCCTACAAGAATTTGACATTCATACCTACGCCATCTTTTTGACAATTATTAAACGTTAGGTTATTTCTTTTTTCGTTTTGGGATCAAAATCAAATGGTTAAGAATTCAAGGCATCATAAGTTTACTGTAAATTTTGCAAATACAAGGTTGATTCAGTTGATTCTGCTTTGATTTTTTATCTCGCTTTCCTTCTATTACTTCTTAATTTTTAGGATTAATCTTTTATACATCGACATTGTATATACTTTTACCATTAGTGTATGACACATAATTTAAATTTGAATTTAAAACTCAAATTTTACATACGTATCATGTATCCAATCGTGATAATTTATACACTGTTAGTATATATAAAATTAATCCTAGTTTTATTGTCTTTGATTGCTTCTAAATTTTGCAGTCCTATGTAGATTTAAGGGTCCAATGTTACCCAATTTGTTGTGTCATCACTGGATCAAGGCCTCACCAAGTTGAGTTTTTTTTTTTTTTTGGTTCAAATCGGTTCATATAATTTATATGATTTTTGATATATAATCTTATACAATCACAATTTGAGTGTAAATTTAAATTTGTCAACTTATACGACTAAATTGATGATTTTTATCAAACTGTACGAATTTCACCGGACATAATGAGAATTACAACAATCGATCTGAACAGGATAAGATTCAACTTGTGAGGCCTGATCCGTTCTGAATTTGTCAAGAAAGTGATTTACTTGTTTTGCTCATGTTTGGCCTTTTTATGCACATTTCTTTGGCCATTCGTATATGACAACATTGAGAAGACATGCATAGCTCACGGACATTCACACTTTAGCGGAAAATGGGGGAAAAGGAAAGAATAACAAGCCACACACTCGCACAATCCAGTAGCAGAGTACTTATCTGACTACAACCACTGAACTTAGCTCAATGAAATCCCTCCTTTGGCTGTAAGTGAGGGGTTCAAACCTCACCTGCAGTTAGGGCTGCAAACAAATCGAGCCGCTCGCGAGCCGCTCGAGTCAAGCTCGACTCGAAACACTCGCACAATCCAGTAGCAGAGTACTTATCTGACTACAACCACTAAACTTAGCTCAATGAAATCCCTCCTTTGGCTGTAAGTGAGGGGTTCAAACCTCACCTGCAGTTAGGGCTGCAAACGAATCGAGCCGCTCGAGTCAAGCTCGACTCGATCGAGCTCGAGTCGAGCTTGACTCGAGCGGCTCGCGAGCGGCTCGATTCGTTTGCAGCCCTAACTGAGCTCAAGTCGAGTTCGAGCTGGCTTGAGTCGAACTCGAGCTCAAAATATTAAGCTCTTTAGGCTCGCGAGCTCGAATATATATATATATATATATATATTTTTTATTTTAAGTATATATATATATTTTATATTTTTTAATTTTAATAGTAAAATTACATATATATTCTTAATATTTTATTATTTATTAAGAAAAAATATTATTTTATTTATTTTTAAAAAAATAAAATAATTATTTTTTATTTTTTCGAGCTCGAGTTTGAAATTGTCAGCTAGTCGAGCTCAAGCTCGAGTTCGAGTTCAATGAAATTATGTCGAGACTCGGCTCAATTAGGCCAAAACTCAACTCGACTTGGCTCGTTTGCAGCCCTACCTGCAGTAAAAAAAATTTTAAGGTGATGTCATAGTATTTTCTTGGTTTAGTCTGGTCTGCATACCTACTAACCCTTGACACACAAGTCTCCTTAGACTCTCCCTTCCTGTAAATTATAATAGAATATGTTATACAATTGTTATCGTTATAGGAAAAAAAAAAGAAAAAAAAGAGTACTTATCTGACTGACTACAGTATCTTCTTGACGAGGAGGCCATGATGATGACAACATCAAATTGGGACTAAAATAAATATAACTACACTATTCTATTTCACAACAACAAAAATAAAAAAATGGTTCTATTTAATTTTCTTGGTTTTCTATGACATTGGAATATTTCGTTCTCTGTGACATAACATGCACTAATAAACTAATGCCTGTTGAAAAGATTGATAGTGTTGATTAGTATTAAAGAATCGAATTGATAATTGTAATAGTACAATTGGCAGTGTATTATTGTCTGGGACAAGAGGGACAGTTCAGACATTTGAATATCTTTTGATACAAAATTCCATGAGGGCTTATACATTATACCAATAGACTTAATACTTTTTCAGGCCATTTAACAATTTGGTCTTATTTGAGCCAACAGGAACCTTCATAGTTAACACATAAAAACAAAGGGGTGGTTTTGAATTTGCCCCTCATCATTATCTGTCTCTCATGTTTGGATTCACCTTTCTACTTTCTCCTATACTTGCCTTGTCATGTGCCTTCCACATTGAACCATGAATAGTTTTCTTTGTCAAAAAGAGAAATCAAGGGGAAAAAAAAGAGAAAAATAAGAGAATAAACAGAGAATATGATTGTGGTGATGGCTACACAATTCAACAAGGAAAGAAAGAAAAATCCCACCTCAGCACTAGCATCTGTCTCAGATGTCTTGCACTATGCAGGCTAATTCAATTTGCAATATAAAAATGACTCTCATCTTATGAGCTATGGATAAATTTCAATCTTCCCTCTTTTGTATCACACCAAAAAAAAAGTATACAATAATATAAATTTAAGATATTCAATTCATTTTCTTGGATAGTAGCCTCACATAGGTAGATACTGAAAAGCATTTAGGCCTCATTTAAGGTTGCAATGACTTATAAAGAAGCACTTACGACACATGT